GTAGCCTACAAGGAACCGCTTGAGTGAGGCGCCGTCCTCCCCGGTGAATACGCTAGGCTGAACTACGTCTTTCGGTTGTTTCAACTCTTTCAGAAGCTTCAACAATACCATGTCACTTTTCCCTTCACGACCGTCATTCCTTCCCGAACTAACCGACCTGGCGCCGCTTCGCTTTTGCACGCCGACGATGTCCCCTTCGGTTATCACGGTCATCCTCGCTGCTTATCTTCAGATCGTCCATGCGGTCCCAGGATTTCTCTCGTCGAGAAACTTCCAACCGGACAACATTAGGAGCATAACCTTTTTCCCCCTTTTCTCCAGGTTCGGTATTTTCCACCAAGTTCCTATCTGCCTCGCCGGTCGCAAGATTCCACAGGTTAGGCAAAACCTCGTTACTTCCCAAGGGTGTCTGCGTTAAAAACCGCATCGTGTGAATTATTACGCGGTAAATACTGTCGCGTTTTTTTGACGCGTGCTGTATTTGCCGCCCCGTGTGAAAGAGTCTCTAGTGTAATATTGACAAAAGCTTTCCGTGGGAGGACGCTCCACATCTATAGAAGGATATGGCACTTTTAATAGGGGTAACTAGTTTGCAGCCAGCAAGACAGTATCACGGTCCAAGGTGTTAGCCGTCAACATTTACCACATTAATGAGGTTTTTACCTACCACTCCATATTAAGGTAGGTTTAAGATAAAATGAGTTTGCTTATCCATCCAGTTTGTTCAGAGCGTTCGTATTAGTTGATACATATCGTAGCTGCCGCCAGAATATTGCCTTCCGTTATTCTAGCGATAGCTGCACTTAAAGGATATCGAAATATCACGAATAAAAAAAATAACTTGATTATGACTTTTCTGGTTGTTTTTACAACCAAAGATGTCAGATGTTTGTCCATGGCCACTAAACATTGTCAATGGGAGCATTGGCAGCGAATGTCGGCTGCGATGCGAAAAATGATAAGAATAAATGGTCCACTTAAGAATGCAATAACTTCTTCAGGAGGCATTCATGTTCGGATTTGAGACGCTGCACTCCAGTGTTGACCAAATGTATTTTTTTTTGTATTGCTGTGGGCTCACTCCAAAAGCCAACTAGGCCCAAGCATCAGCGTTAAATACGGCTCGTGATCGTAATTCCAACTCATGCCTTGTTCATGTTCCAAGGGAATTCAAACTCCACTTGTATTCGCTATTTAATGTTCCAGTTCAAGCCCTAAACTTTCCTGAAAACAAACAAAAAACTAATAAATAAAAATGCTAAAGATAACAAGATTCCTACGAATGCTAAATATTTACAACAAACATCATATGAGCACAGTATTCTAATTAAATCTATTCACAATAATATATACACGATAGTCACACTTAAAATCCTTCACTAGTACAAGACACGTACCTCCGTCACGTCTCCGCACCAAACAATAACTAGCGCAGCGTTCCTAGAGTGCGGACGTAAACAGTAAGATTGTCTCTAAACCTAAAATTTCAAAAAGTGTCTTCAATTAAAAACCCTAACAGTATCAACCAAAATCGAACTGAAAGCCAAAATATATGAATGTAAAATGACTGTGTAAGTCGTGAAAGTGTTGGGAGCTTCCTCTAAATTTTTAATCTCAAATTAAAACCTAATCCATATCACAAATGCCAAGAAGCATTGAATTTTTACTGTCACCAACTGTCATAAGTTTTACCTTACGTTTGAACCAATAGCCGCATCCTAAGTTTTAGGTGAGCGATATATAGATGGCGAATAAGAAAAAAGTAGTAATGCAAATGACAGACTTCTCCTTTTTTTGATGTAATTTAAGTATTTGGTGCAGCGACTTGTTCAACGGTTCGCCAACGCTTGAGTGGGTCTGGATAAAGCAACTGGGATAGTACATTATTTCTATTCAGTACAATATTTCTAAGTGACTAGCAGGATCATACAATTCATGATCACTCTAGACTAGAATTAGAAGTCATACTGTAGTTTTAGAATTATATTTTATCCAAGTATATTCAATCAATCGAACCTGGATTAAATACATTAGTCAATCTAGGTATTTTTATAAATTTTACTAGGTACTTACATAAAATATAATTTTTTCCTTGATGAAAATGACACAACTGACATTGGACAAAGTACATTTTTCTTGTCCGATGCAAGTCAGCGATCGTAAAGTTGGCTACGCAGGGGTAATCCCGGTGCGGTGCATTCACCTAGTTTGGAACTCCCTATTCATTCAGTTTGTGACCAATATTGATAAAGGTACATAAGCCGACAGCGCTAATGCCCGTAGCGCCGTGGCAAAGATTTTTTCATTTTTGCCACCGCTTGTTTTCAATTAAAACGGTAACATGGGATATTTCAACTACTTCATTAAATGGCATTTCCTCAATTCGTGACAAATAATTTTGTAATCAAATAAGCAAATTCTAATGACCATTGCGCTGTGACAAGGATTTTTTACATTTCTCAACCTCCCGTTTTCAACTAAAATGGTACACCAGGTGGAACCAATCCTAACCTTACCGGAACGCAAAGGTAAACCTGAAGTAATGTGTTAAAAATGTCCTAATTGTTCATTTAATTTCATAATTATTGGTCAAGAATCGAGGGAATTTGGTGCACCTAAATGGTTGAATTCACTGGTTTTGTTTTTAATTGAAAACCTTAGGAGGCAAGAGTGCGAAAAATTTTTTGCACCAACACCTGTGAAATGTGCGTATTTAATTTAATAAATATTTGATACAAAATAAAGAAATAGGGCGTGCCGAAGTGGTTGAATTGATTTGTTTCATCATTTTAATGAAGAACAGAAGGAGGTAAATATGCGAAGAAAATCTACAGCCCTGTGAGCATTAAAAAATGTGGATTTAACTTCAGATTTGTTACGAATTTGATGTACGTGGTGTTCCGAAGTAGTTACGCTGGTGTGGCCCACACTACGCAGTAAAGATCATGCACATTTGTCGACTTGAATATGTTCTGAAATTCATGGAAACATTAGTGAAACACTTTAATTCGTTATCAATCACCTAAAGAAGTGCTTCAAAATGGTGGAATTCGTCATTTTCATAAGTGTGCAGAGGAACGCAAAAGATAAAAAAATAAATATAAGGCTACACATTTGCTCGCGTAATAATACCACCTTGGAAGCGTGTATATGCTGCATGCGATGATTAATCAAAGCAGCAATAATACTAAGCAATATCTATGTATACTAAACTTTTGTGCCCCATTGATTCAATCTAGACATACATATCTCAGGTTCGTCATGGATGAATTGATTCATTATTAAACGCAAAAAATTTTAATGCGGCATTTAATGACGTCCACCTAAGTGAATTTCTTGCCCAAAATAGATGCCTCGAGTATTAGCCATCTTGTTGAGAAAAAATAGATAACTAGTTGAAAAGTTTGCATGTAAAGACTCTAATAAAATGATTGAAATTGTAATAAATTTATCGTCAATGCCACAGCCACATCAGTCACCGTTAAGCAGCTACAGCACTTAACTCGCCGCTGGTCAATATACATAAAATATATAGTTCTGACAATATGTAAGCTAAAAATTCACCGTTTGGTAGTTATGAATGTATATTAAAAATTTCGTTCAAATCTGTTCAATAGTTTGGAAGAAATTCTTTGATCACTGCGAATTTCGGCCTGTTTCGCAATATACGCATAACACACTAATGAAGGTGAAATTTCAAAAAATTAAGAGCTAAACATCACCGTTAGGTAACTTAGGTTCTGATGAATACGTGTTCCAAGTTTCATAGAGCGGCGTTCGTTAGTTTGGGAGATATTACTTGATAATTGAATGTGGAGATTGGTCGTGAGACCGGCCACGAGTCCGGCCGTAAATTCGCCCGCTACGTCCTAGGTTTCTAGTGCTGAAACAGAATAAATAACAGAAAAACATATTGTTTAACTTAATGGTGTTCTATTTGTGAAATACACATTTGTGTTTAACCTTTATCTTTTAAAATTGCAGCGTACTAAATTTCAAGAAAGAGGCGTATGTCTGTGGGGGGCGCTAGAAATTCACTATAGGGAGCCAAAGGGGCGCCTGCCTGAAAAAGTTTGGGAACCACTGGTCTAGAATAATTTATAAATTCACGACAATTCAATTAAAGTATTTTAAATAGGGTGTACAAATCAACACATAGGTTAATGCAAATCAGTCGACATTAAAAACAGGTATTATAATTTTTAATCAGTAACCAAGCAATCAAGAAGCTCTACATGAATTAAAATCAATGCTAGGAAAGAAATAACTTTAACTTCGAGCGAAAATTTGTATTTTTGATAAAGTATATTTTAGATTAAACATTTATTTTATTTAAGAATATATTAGTTGGTAACATACGACCATCGTAAAACAGCAATATTGAACTTACAATCATAGTATAACTTATGATCTTCATAGGCCTTACGATCGTTGTTAAAAATACGATAGCCGTAGAATTTATGAATATAAAAGTATTTACGTTCAAAAGCATTTATTGCGCAAGTGCTTCTTGTTACAATAACTGAGCTAAAGACCGCCTTGTAACTTACGATCTCCACGACTGCGGCTGTTTGAATTCAAGTATAGTATTCGATTTCAAATATAATATTAGAATATAATTAACATTCGAATTTGAATATAGTATTCGAATTGAATATAATATAGTATTCGAATTCAAATATTATATTCGACATGCCACGCCTCACTGCCAAGACACGAATATGGCCCTACGATTTTTGTTATCGGATCGAACAAATTAAAACTAAAGATCCTGCCCCGTTTTGTAATGTACTGCTTTATACTTTTGAATTACATTCTAATGTTCATTTTAGAGAAAAATTACCGTGAAATTCTCTAGCATTTTTCCGTATCGGTAGTAATTATCGGTAAAATATTAGATCTGTGAATTTGATTTCTGTTGTCAGAAGTCGCGTCTGACAGCAACAAAACCATCTGTGTCCATAATTATAGTGAGTGTTCAGTTTAACCCCAGCATTTGTGAGAACTTTTATACAAACACCGTGAATTGAACCTTCACCAAGAACTCGCTTTCAAAAGTTTTGTTTAGAGGTGAAACCTTCATAATTTAATGTATTTATAGGAGTAATATATGAATTTATTGTAGAAAATTTCTTGAATTATATTGCCTGTGAGATGTTGCAGGTTCAGCACTTCATCTCAAAGCGATGAACTCTGGTACAGATTGATTTTTCCAGACTCAACTGTGCAATTGAATTAAAATTTTCGTTTTTACATCAAAGGACTAACCACAGCTGTAAGTATTATTTCCTATATAGTCATATATAATAGTAATATTAATATATTAAGCCAGTTTTACATGAATTTGTTCAATCCTGTTCAGATTATCACGCAGAACATTGTACATCTTACCTTCTTATTCACCGTAATTTATAACAATCTGAACATTACCAACAGCAGGCGTACACTGAGAGAAAAAAGCCCCCCGTTTTGAAACACTTGGGTGTTTCAAAACCTCTCGAGCTTCACGCGCTTATATGTGTGCGGCAAGCGTCGCGTGGTCAGTGCGCCGAATGCTGTCGTGGGAGGTGGTTGTGTGGACCCGCCGCTCATGAATGCCACGAATCTATACTGCTTACGGTTAATTGGCCCAACTCAATTCGGTTAATTGTTTCAACTCACTGCTGTTCTTTTGTCAATAGTAATGTTAACGAGCGACGTCTATACCATTCAATCGCACAAGAAGTTGATCATAAAATCGAAGATTTGTTCTGGTAGTACCGCGCGCAAGACAAAACAAACACGGCAGCTCTATGTAGTTGCCGTCTCCGTAGCTGAGTGGACTAAGGCGCCTGCTCGCGAGCGTTTGGTTGCAGTCTTGGCAGAGGTTCGAATCTCGGCGGGCAACTCGTAGTTTCTTCAACCAGAGTTCGATAGAGGTGAGAGCAAAGAGTGTAGTTTCATGATGATTGTACATACCGATATAAATTGTGTAATAAATATGTGTATAAAAGAATAAATATGTGACTAATTTCGCTGTGAAGGAGAAAAGCGTTGAAATCAGATAGAGATGGAGAAATATAGTTTTCATAATTTTGGTATGGAGGCGGCCATGAATTAAACTGTGATCGACCGGAGGTGTAGAATATGTTAAAATAATTTCATCAGGCGCTGGAAGCTGGACAAGGATATTGCATAAATTCTGAAAAGAAGGTTTCATTCTCCGTAGACTTATTTCGGTGTTCTAACGTTGAAACACCTAGGTGTTTCAAAATCACAAATTTTGAAACACCTGAACGTTTTTGAAACACTCGGGTGTTTCGCTTTGGGCACGATCGCTCGGGGAGGATTTGAAACACCAAAGTGTTTCAAAACAGGGGGCCTTTTTCTCTCAGTGTAGTAAGTAGAGTTACACCTACTTGTATATCTACTATACCTACTTGTATATCTACTATACCTACTTGCATATCTACTATACCTAATTGCATACCGACTATACCTACTTGCATACCTACCATACCTAATTGCATACCGACTATACCTACTTGCATACCTACCATACCTAATTGCATCCCGACTATACCCACTATACCTACTTGCACACCTACTATACCTACTTGCAAATTTGGTAAAGAAACCTAATTTTTTCGGCTTGATATGCAGCTGCCTATGTATTGCAGCGTTCTGATTGGTCGCCTCACTACCACATCCACCAATCACCTGTACGAATCACCTGTAGACGCTACCACCTGTAGACCGCTGCTTGTAACAGTGCAGGATACAGCCCAGGTCGGACATGTGCTTAAGGCTGCGAGAAGACTAAGTTAATTCACAGAGTTTAATGCAGTTTTTGTTAAGAATTATGCTACCCCTTTAGAGAGAGAAAATTTTCGCAAGAAATGGCAGGAGAGACTCAGGCGGAAAAGCATGAAGACTCGGGTCAAACAATTTCACGATGTCAAGACAACACCGACCGCACACGGTCAGTCAGCGGAGCTGGAAGACAAGTAAGAAGTCATGTCCATAGCACCGGGCCTGTAAATAATGTAAGAAGTAAACGCATGCATCAAAGTGAAAGTGCACAAAAAGCTTTAAAATGTTTTTACACGAACTCGGATTCCGTTTTGAACATAAGAAGTGAACTATTAACTGTGATTGAAAACGAGCGCATAGACATTATTTGTATTACAGAAACACTCCCTAAAAATCACGGGGGGGAAATTGTACCTGCTGAATTTCAGTTGCCAGGTTTTGAGTGTCTTCATAACTTGAATGAAGAGCAGTGCAGTAGAGGTGTAGCTTTGTGGGTTAGAACCTCTTATGGTGGTCAGCAAGTCAAGTTATCTGCAGAACATCAATCAGCTAGAGAATCAGTGTGGTGCGAACTTACTCTAAAAGGCAAAGATAGCCTCCTCATAGGAGTCGTGTATAGATCACCAAACAGTTCTTCTGATAACGATAAAGTACTAAACAGTCTTTTACCGAGCATGACTTTCCGTAAGTCACACACGTTGATCGTTGGTGATTTTAATCATCCAGAGCTAGACTGGATAGATCCTGTCTCTTATACACATCTAGATGTGTATAAGAGACAGGAACACATCCATGCGACAACATTTCTTCTCGCTTCGAGTCACCGACATGTGGAACAGCCTCCCTGATAGCATCGTTGACGCTCCGAGTATGAACATCTTCAAAAACAGATTGGACGAAGCTATGCAGGAGCATATGTTCAGTCATAAAATGCCTAGCAAATAACGGACAAGGCAATAAGTCCAGCGGCTATCTCAATCAATCGTCAGTTATGGAAAGATCGGGTTCCAATTAAAGGCCGGATGTGAATCAAGTCACGAAAATTCAAGAATCGGCAACAGGCCATGGGCCTATTTCTTCAATGCCGACACTTCTATTCTATTCTAATCACCGTTACCTGAATGTACTGCAGCGCTCTGATTGGTCGCCTCACTACCACATCCACCAATCACCGTAGCCTGAATGTATTGCAGCGCTCTGATTGGTCGCCCACTACCACATCCACCAATCACCGTCACCTGAATGTATTGCAGTGCTCTGATTGGTCGCCTTATATCACATCCACCAATCACCGTCACCTGAATGTGTTGAGCGCTCTGATTGGTCGCCTCACTACCACATCCACCAATCACCGTCGCCTGAATGTATTGCAGCGCTCTGGTTGGTCGCCTCACTAACACATCTACCAATCACCGTCACCTGAATGTTTTGCAGCGCTCTGATTGGTCGCCTCACTGGCACATCTTCCAATCACCGTCACCTGAATGTATTGCAGCGCTCTGATTGGTCGCCTCACTACCACAGCTACCAATCACCGTCACCTGAATGTATTGCAGCGCTCTGATTGGTCGCCTCTCTACCACATTCACCAACAACCGTCGAGGCTTTCATACAGTGAAGAACCACAACGTTGACTGCTACAGCCTGACCGTGAAATGTTATATTTAACGCACATTCCGAAAAGTTGATTTGTACTCCGTTTTTCGTTGTACAAATTCGATAAAAGAATTGCACAAGAACTTTTGACTCAGTCACAAATTATTTAGCTATTCGTTATCAGTAAAAATAATTTTTAGAAGCGCTACTTATTTCAATATATATAATACCACGATTGTTAAGAAAAATAGTTCAACATCACATTTATTGTCTTTAAATTTTATCAATGTACAACGTGGTACACGTAGCGGCCTAAATACACGTAGCGGCCTAAGTACACGTAGCTGCCTAAGTACCCGTAGCGGCCTAAGAAGTACTTCTGGTCCTCTTTGATTGCGAATTTTGCTGCCAATTTTGTTCAAAATTTTCATCATAAATAATGGCATGTTAAATGCCCCTACACGACACTTTATCTGTTATCTATGTATGTTATTTCCCACGATATCATGTGTCCCACAGGACCCACAGCCGGCGGGACCACGCCATGTGGGCCACAAATTTTCTCCTGCTGACGGTGCTGACCTCTGCTGCCGACGCGGCGCAAAAGTGAGTCATAAAGTCAGGAAAATGGGTCAAGAATGAATTCTACCGGCAGCCGAACTGCTTCTTGCGGTTAACTCATCCGTTTTTTGTGTATTTGTGTGTGTTGGTTTTGTGTGCCTGGCGCACAAAGTATACAGGGACTATGGGACCGCGTATCCAGGATACCTACTGTGCCGGGACATTACTGAAAAAAAAACTCAGATTTTCGGACAATCTTACGACACTGGAAAAAATATACATTATATTATTTATAAATATAAATTAATATTGTTTAAAATTAGTATTTTTTCACTTCCATAGGTCTAAATTTTATTCGGAAATGTTGAGTCGACGTTCAATTTATTTTAAAAGAAAATTTGAAAGCGTCTGTTCAATTATCGCTGTTTCAGTTGAAATGTTATTAACAGGTTTGAAATGAAACGGTATTATGGAAAACAGGCTTCTAAAATATCCAAGAGAAGGGATCCAGGTCAATATCTGGATAATCTAATAATAAAATACAATTGACATTATCGACTAAGATGCATGGTGGATAATTCAATTAGTGAACCTGCAACATATCCCCAAATACCCCGATTCCACCTGCTCCATCTTCCACCTGCTCCATTTCCACCTGCTCCATCTTCCACCAGCTCGCCCTCCTCTGACAAGGCACCTCCGACGTATCAGCCAAGAGCTCGCACCTACCATCACCTGTCAAGATGGGGCAACGGGCAACATGCCAAGGCTTATATGAACGACCCTCTTAGAAGTCAAGCTGACATTCCAGCTCGTGTTGACATCCCAGCTCGTGTTGACATCCCAGCTCGTGTTGACATCCCAGCTCGTGTTGACATCCCAGCTCGTGTTGACATCCCAGCTCGTGTTGACATTCCAGCTCGTGTTGACATTCCAGCTCGTGTTGACATTCCAGCTCGTGTTGAGCAACAACCTGCGCAGACTAGAGAGGCAGAGAACGGTGAGTTCAACATTCCGGGTTCATGCTATATACTTTTTTGGAATTCTATTCTTATCATGAGTTTCCATAGGGTATACGTGGAAAATTAATTGTTTACATAAACTGTTAAAATAAATAATACTAATACTGATGACTAAATAATACCATTCTTCTAGTACCTAAGAAGTAAATAATACTATTCCTGTGCTACCTAAGAACTAAATAATACCTTTCCTGTCGTACCTAAGCAGTAAATAGTGCCATTCCTGTAGTACCTAAAACTAAATACCGTTCATGTAGTACCTAAGAACTAAATAATACCATATTCCTGTAGTCCTTAAGAACTAAATAATACCATTTGTGTAGTACCTAAAAACTAAATAATACCGTTCGCGTCCTTTCTAATAACCAATTGAGACTATTTGTACAGTTCCCAATAACTGACTACCACCATTCGAACTGTTCTTGATGATCCTTCCCCAGGAAAAACCCCAAGTTTCCTCGCCGCTCTGAAGGAGGCAGGATCGCTGAGCAAGAACTTGGTGCTCGAGAAAATCAAGGATGCAGAGAAGAAGTTAAAAGAAGGAGCCAAAGTTTTGCAGGAAAGCATATTTAAATCCAAGCTCTTCAAAAAAATCACTGCCAAAGATGAAGAAGATCCTCGGCAAGTGGCCACCCTCCACTTCCTCCCGTTAGAATCCGATAGACTCCGAGGGGATCTCCTGGATCGGCCTCCGGCTGCCAAAAGCTCTTCTTCAAGATACGAAGATAAATTTTTTGCTTTTGCGCCTCCAGCATCTGTTTCACCAGATCCTTTTACACCTGTTGTACCAGATCCAAAGTTTAACTCAATCCTGACCACATCTCGTACATACCGCAGGCTCCAAAAAGGACCTGTTGTACCAGATCCAAAGTTCAACTCAATCCCAACCACATCTCGAGGTGACCTACCCTCCTACAGGAGTTCTGTGTCCTACACACCCTTCCTTGTTGGATCCTCGCACTTGAAAGATCCTCGTTCGGTGCTATCTAGCATTCCAGTTTTCAACCTAAAGGAGAAGATGGAGGAAGTTGAAAAAATTGAACGAAAAACCAAGGGAACCAAAATTCTGGTTGGGGTGAGTCGTTTTATTTCAGGGTTGTGCACTTTTACTGTGATTGACATGCAGACTCAGTCGGGTTAATGCCATTGGTAAATAGTAAATTCATACCAAATTAAAGAGTAATCCCAAAGAGGATTATGTATTTTTGAAACAATTCTGCAGCATTAACGTAACACTTCTTGCACAGAGTCTTGTATGGGGTTAATATTTTTATGTTGCAGGATACCAGTGATCACATCACCAGTAACCGGATATCCGACCAAGATGCTGTGAACGGGCTTAACCCTCTGGAAGGGCTCAACCCTCTAAATTGGTTTACTGTATTCAATGAACCCGATGAGGAAGCGTATGATTTTCGCTCTCATCACAGTTCGAGTAATAGAAACCCGGCACCCAAGCATTACGATTACTCCGAATCGGACCGTTACGATTACCATGATTTAGCCAATTATGCGGACTCTGAACCAGCCCCTTATGAAGACTCCGAACCAGTCCCGTATGACGACTCTGAACCAGTCCCGTATGACGACTCTGAACCAACTCCTTCCAAGCCCTTCGAGTCAGCTTTCGGGCCACTCAGTGAGAGCTCAGTCGGCGCTAAGCCCCCCACTCACAGCTCTAATTTCATAGCTTACACTCCCGCGTACGTTTTCCTGACCAAACCCGAGACTGGAGAGACATACCAGCTGAACAGCAAGGACAACTGGAAGAAAATATTCAAATGGTTTTAATAATCTAATAATGATAATTTAATAGGAGTTTACCCTTTTGTGTACGGTTGCTTCAACCGCTGTCAATATTAGCCGCACATTAATGCTTGACTCGAGAAGTCCCGTCAGTATACGAAGGGTTAGCAGGCATTTTATCGCCTGGTATTCAGTCGATAGCAGGTATTAGGTATTACACTGGGAAGTAATTTTCTTTATTAATTATTGATTATCGGTCGAATGATTATTCCTAGAAAGAATGATTGTGTACGCGAGTGATCGCTAACAATTATTTTTATATTTTATTTTTTATCTATTAAACTCCATTTTTCAGTCGTGAGATTATTTTGGTTTAATATCAGTTTACGATCCACTCGTACCCTCGGAGAAACTGGTGAAAATTTGTCAAATAGTGATGTACTTTTTTCCTCTGTGTAGAGAGACATACCAGCTGAACAGCAAGGACAACTGGAAGAAAATATTCAAATGGTTTTAATAATCTAATAATGATAATTTAATAGGAGTTTACCCTTTTGTGTACGGTTGCTTCAACCGCTGTCAATATTAGCCGCACATTAATGCTTGACTCGAGAAGTCCCGTTAGTATACGAAGGGTTACCATGCATTTTACGCCTGGTATTCAGTAGATAGCAGGTATTAGGTATTACACTGGGAAGTAATTTTTTTTTATTAATTATTGATTATCGGTCGAATGATTGTTCCTAGAAAGAATGATTGTGTACGCGAGTGATCGCAAACAATTATTTTTATATTTTATTTTTGATCTATTAAACCCCATTTTTCAGTCGTGAGATTATTTTGGTTTAGTATCAGTTTACGATCCACTCGTACCCTCGGAGAAACTGGTGAAAATTTGTCAAATAGTGATATACTTTTTTCCTCTGTGTGGGTCATCCTGACCCAGTTTGGCCTTTTATAAGGACGTATCAGTGCTCCGCGCTATAAATGTGTCTTTATTTATACAATACGACGCATGGATTTACCCGAGCTTGCATTTTTATACATCAATTCGGAAAGCCAAGCTACCTCCAAGCCAAGCGTGGCGACTCTATCTCGTTCAGGAGCCAAGGATGAAGACATAAAATTTTGTTCGGGTATAAATGCACCGCTAAGGGGAACTTGCATAGAATCTTCATCAACGACTTAATATATCTACTATATTATTTGATAAATATATATTTTTTTAAATTGCACTCATTCCGATATGCAGTCCATTTCGCTGGTGATTCTAATCCGTGATTCAATAAATTTAAACAATCTTTTAACACTATAGAATTAAATTTTTTTACCATGAATAGTTTGGTTATAAATAAATTTGCATATATTTCTACCAATTAATAAAGTAGATTTCGATTAACCTGCAAACTTTTTAATAAAATATTACAGTTATCGATAAACTAACTTCGATAATTTCCGATAGAACAAAATATTTATCATAGAAGTTGTTACGTTATCAATGAAATACTGCAGATATCCGTCTAAAGCTTTATGATAAATCGACGGTTCTCGGCGACCAAAAATGCCCAATCGACGGACCTCCAAGAAGTTTTGTAGGGTAAAAAAAGCAAGGTATTTATTTTAACACACAGTGCCTAAAACTGTGTGACTCATATATTATTTCTCTATGAGATATAACTTAATTAAAGGGGGGGCGTCTACCCTCCAGAAAAACTTCCACATTTACTAACGGATCTTTCTGAAACTTCACACATATATGTAAAACCGAAATACAAGATTTTGTTCGTATAATTTTTACGGAGAAATCAATAGAAAACGGAAAATTCATGGAAAACGGCAAAAAAGTGGGTACTTTAAAAATCTATCTCCTCCTACAGTTTCAAGCTGCAGCATTGAAATATATAACATTCGATTCGTAAAGACCATACGAATCAAGTAACGAAGCCCGATTTTTTATTTTTGCCTTAGTTTTTCTACACGCATTTTCCCGTTTACTTCTCATTTTCTTCAGATTTTTCCCCTCCCCCCATTTTGAATCCAAATTATGCACAAATCTAAAAAAAGCTTCGTTCCTCGATAGGTATGGTCTTTACGAATCGAATGGTGTATGTCTCATCGCTGTAGCTTCAAAACTCTAGGAGGAAGTATGTTTTCCGTGACAATAAGTGTGAATGTTCAGGAGAACGCGACAGTCCCGCGAGCATCGCAATAGGCACTCAATGTAGCAAGGATACACGTACTACAACGCATAAATCAACGCACAGAGATGGTAATTGTACCGTTGGATAGGGCAGAATGTCAGCTTTAACATGAGACTAAAGACCGGAAAAGCCAAATCCCAAAACGAAAAAAAACCGCCCCCCTTAAAAGAAATGACATGTACTGCGGCGTCATGTATGAAACTTTCAAACGCATAAAGGAATATATGAATTACCCACCAATTTTTTTTCCTGCATCCTACCTTAACAAGGATAAACTTCAAGTAGGTAACCAAGCTTTACATTTGTATTTATATATATTCGTAATACAGACATCATAGTTATAAATTGTTTGAATACAATCGCTTTTTCAAATATTATAGATGAAAATTTTGTTGCTTTCTCATGTATCGTCCCAATTTGAACAATATTGTAATCTTGAAATATTCTGTTTCTGTTTATATTAACGCTTCTTATCTTATCGATAAAGATTAACACGTCAACAAAGGAATAAATTTCTTTTTGAATGTCCTACACATACAGAAACCAATTACAGAATACAAGAAGAACAGTAGTTCTAGTTCTTGAACGTACAAGAGCCAATTCTAATTAATATTCATTAGTTCTAGAGCGAAGTAAGTTACTAGAATAAACTACATGTTGTACGGAATAAAATGTACATGTGAGCGCTACAACAGAAATTTCACGACAAGGACGAACCATTTAATACAATAGAGCGACCTGATCAATTCAGCCAAATTTGAAAAATATAACAGTCGAGATTGAAGTCTGTTCCGAAAGTCACTGCAGTGAACTCAGAAAATTTGATGGGTCATATTGTCCAAATAGTTGTACCCCACGCTTTGTCACTCACTGCACCAGAAGAGAATAGTAGGGCACTTTTACGCCCTAACTTGGTTTGGATAACTCACACAAGAGAAAAAGTGCTAAGCTAAGTAAACAAAGTCACGAGCGGAGACTGAGTCTTAGTGTGAAAGGTAATTGATACACTTCGTGTGAAGGTTACACTCTCTTGCAGAATGTGGGTGTCTACTCTCTACTTGACTTGTCATCCCCGTGCGTTGTGGTTGTCAACAATCTACTTGATTTGACACACTCCCGAGCGCGGTGGTTGTCAACAAAAATCTACTTGATTTGACACACCCCTGAGCGCGGTGGTTGTCAACAATCTACTTCATCTGACACACCCCCGTGCGCGGGGGTTGTCAACAATCTACTTGATTTGACACACCCCCGAGTGCGGCGGTTGTCAACAATCTACTTGATTCGATACACCCCGGGCCCGTAGTTTCTCAACAATCTATTTTATTTGAAACACCGCCCGGGTGCGGTAGTTGCCAACAATCTACTTGATTTGACACACCGCTGGGCGCAGATGCTCGCAGGCATCGTCGCCCATTTTCTTTGAAGCAAGCAGAACGTCATTGGACATGAAATGCCCGCAGTTCGTGAGATAACCATCGATAGGTTCGCCTTGATCATCAGGCTGCGATTTAAGAAGACCACCCAACAATTTATTCCCCCAGCTGGAGGCAGACACAGTGGTACCGTCGACCCACTGCCACTGCGATGTTGCGGTGTTCTTTTTGGCGCCCAGCCAGGGCCCTTCCACTCCTTCGTGACATGACGTTGTGAGAGTGGAAAGAAAGGGAAATCACCTTAACCCTCAACCGCCTAACATGAGTAACTGGAGCAATATTGTCACAAGCACTTCCCAAAAAGGATACGTTTTAGTGAGCCGAAAATGACTTGCACTGATGGTTGCCGCCTCGTACAACAACTGTAAAATGTTCTCTGTTGCGTACAAACGTCCTGAGGTTGATACACTCAATAGTTTACAGACGTAAGATTTAAGTTGAAAGTTATGTTCCCGGAGAGTGACATACGGCGGTAGAGGGTTAAATTAGTCATTCGGTGTGTAAGAGTTAACGATGTAATACGGTACGAAAGAGAAGGTAACTTAACTCCGTTGTATTGACGAAAGAAAAGTTAGGTTAACGTATTGGGACGGTAAGAATAATTGAGACGTTACGAATAAGAGAGTCAACTTGAGATATGGTACTAAATAAATTTTACCATAACTTAGTTGTGACACATGAAATAGAAAGGAACTGTACTTAGTCGTCCAAATTAGTAAAGGATTAATGGGTACTTGAAGCCTGACTCGTCACGACTACTCAAGAAGTCGTCCAAATTAGTCTAAGAAGAAGGACTAGTTCAGGCCTCACTCACCTCGAGCTTTCAAATAGTCGTCCAAATTCCCCCACGCGTAGGGTACAAGCAAGTCTGCCGTGGGCCAGAGACTCTGGCACATGGCCCTGGCTGCGGCATATGGCTTCGGTGGCAAGAAGCTGGCGTTGGCGTAGATGCACCCAACGTTGCTCACCGACTCGAAAGGTTCAAGACAGCAGCCGTACTGGGCAGGGCATGTCGCCACGGCAGTCGCTGTGTTGACGTAATTAGTTAACGGTGATGATTTTGGTGCCCGGCAGTAGCCGGACAGATACTTCAGAAAGATGCCAATTAGCCATTGTGCAATCGTGATTAATTAGTAAGAATGCTTTTCAGGAGACAGCAACATTCAACAGAGCGGATGAATCTACAAACGTAAAGACATGGTGGTCCCAGACTCGTCATTAAGTTCCGAGTGCACAGCCATGTTCTTCGGCGTGTTCGCGATCAGGCTAGGTTAGGCTAAATTAGGTCTGCCTCAGGTGTGGCAGTCTCAATTCCAGTTTTATAGACCACCGAAAAACGACGATCGTTGATATCTTGATTTCGTTATGAACTCAAGTTTTGCAATCCTTATCCGGCGATTATAATACTCAACACAGATATTTTACGTATCCAAAAAACTGGGAACTAGGGTTACCATCATTAGACGAAATACTGTCAAACTTCCTCCGATGATATCAGTTTTGCATTGAATTGCTATAAACTGTCGTCTTTACCTACCCTTGCCGAAGCGGGGGTATTTAGTGAAGTAAATAACCTTGTCGAAACGGGGAGGTGCAGTTGAGTACATACCCATTCCGAAGTGAGGCGGTACATGGGAGTACATAACCATGTCGAAAATATGCGGTACAATAGAATAATTACCCTTTCCGGAAAGAGGAGTGCATAACCTTGTCGAAGAGGGGCGGTACAGTGGAGTAAATACCCTTTCCGGAGAGAGGCGGTGCAGATGAGTACATAACCTTGTCGATAATGGGCGGTACAGTACAGTAAATACCCTTGTCGAAGAGAGGCGGTGCAGTGGAGTAAATACCCTTGTCGAAGAGAGGCTGTGCAGTGGAGTAAATACAATTGTTGAAGGAGGGCGGCGCTGCGGAATTCATACCCTTGTCGAAGAGGGTAGCTGTAGAAGAGTACATACCATCGTCATTGAATGGCGCTAAGGTGATGTACATACCTNAAATAGCATTTATTAAAACCCACAACGATATACTGTGAATGGACAAGGTTTATTATCGACGTTAAGCAACGACGTACTAAGATCTACCGTAGCTTCTTGCTACAAAATACTTTAAATAACGCAATAATACGCACTTTAATATTGTACATCATAAAGTTTTACAATACGAAGTTGTACAATATAAAGTTGTACAATATAAAGTTGTACAATATAAAGTTGTAAAATATAAAGTTTTTGAACTGATGATGGAGCTGGTCTTCGAAATGTTCTCATTGAAGATATTGTGCATTGATTTGGCGTTTATTTTGTTTTTTAATTCATGGCAATTGTTAGAATCACATCAAGAGTTGAATATTATAACAACTGTGGTCCCCAATACCGCTCGGGTTGACGCAAATGCTAATAAAATGATGCTGCAGGTACAATGAGTGCTCGCTATGCCCTCATTAAATGCTCACATTACCCTCAATTTAATCCTCAATTTAATTCTCATTTAAACCTTCAATTCAACCCTTAATTTAACCCTCGATTTAACCTTCAACTTAACCCTCATTTAACGCCCACAAGACCCTGGTCTACCGAGGGGATGTTTACCC